GCTATGGTAACACAAATACTAAAGTATTTAATTTGTTGTGGTGATTCTACAGTTGCTATGGTAACACCACAACTATAGTATTTTATTTGTTGTGGTGATTCTACTGTTGCTATGGTAACAAAACTACTATAGTATTATATTTGTTGTGGTGAATGTACAGTTGCTATGGTAACACAACTACTATTGTATTTTATTTGTTGTGGTGATTCTACTGTTGCTATGGTAACACAACAACTATAGTAATTGAGCTGTTGTGGTGATTCTACAGTTGCTATGGTAACACAAATACTAAAGTATTTAATTTGTTGTGGTGATTCGACAGTTGCTATGGTAACACAACAACTATAGTATTTTATTTGTTGTGGTGATTCTACAGTTGCTATGGTAACACAACAACTATAGTATTTAATCTGTTGTGGTGATTCTACAGTTGCTATGGTAACACAATAACTACAGTAATATAAATAAATAACCCACTGATGTATTTTTTTTTACAACTATAGGGTATATTATGCTACAATACACCGCAGTTTACTGTGGTAAATCTAAAGTATAGATTAGTATGTTCGGTTTATCAGTTTACTATAATTAATACTATAGTATGCTGCGTTTATTAACAAAGAGTTGTATAATAAATACAGTATAAAACATTACTAAAGTAACAATATAGCAGCCTCTATAGTATTTTTTCATGTAGAGTTTTGCTCTGTTACGCTGACACAGAGAGCCTTTCCCCTGTCAAACCCAGTCTCCAGCAAGATCAGCCTGACAGCAGAGTTTAACCTTTATTTCTCTCTGCGTTTCCATTAGAGTCACTCATGCACGCTCATCGATCCGTTCAGCCTACAAACCTATATTCTCAATCGCACACAAGCCTTTGGGAAAGCCCTCTTTACTGCGATTTACACTGGTGAACTGTAGTAAGAGCAGATTGTGAGTCTGTTTGGTTGAACGTACAAGTATTCAGCCTCCTGTTAAAATGTCATTCTTTTTAAAATATTACACAAGTGTTGTTCTGTGTGAGATTTAAAAAATAAAACAAATAAAACAAAACTATGGACATTGAGGCAAACTATGGACACATTTAAAGGTCTGGTGCTTTGAAACGTGCATGTTTCGTTTGATGTTTGACGTAATCTCTACACTGTTGCCAACTATTTTCAACGAAAAGGCGCTAAAAGTCGCTAGATTACGTCATGGGTTAATTTGCATATTTCTGACGTCATCACGTTCTACCATTTCTGTTTGTTTAACAGCCTATGGTTAATAAAGGG